GAAATAAACCCTCACATGTATGGTCAATTGATTTTTGACAAATGCTCCGAGACTATTGAAAGGGAAAAGGACAGTCTTTTCAAAAAATGATACTAAAAAAAACCCAAACAAACCTGGATATCTACATGTAAAAGAATGAAGATGTATCCTTACTTTGCACTATACAAAAAAAATGAACTCAAAATGGGTCAAAGACCTAATCTTATTCTTAAAAGAAAACATTGAGGAAAATCTTCATGACATTGGATTTGGCAATGATTTCATGGACACATGACTGAAAGCACAGGCATCCCTACCCCCCCCCCAAAAATAGATAAATTGGACTTAATCAAAATTAAGAATTTTTCTATATCAAAGGATGCTATCAAGAAACCAAAAAGAAAACCCACAGAATAAGAGAAATTCTTTGCAAATTATATATCTGATAATTGGTTAATATCCAGAATACACTTTTTTTTTTTTAAAAAAAACCTCCTAAAACTCAAAAACAAAAATCAAAAGATTCAATGTAAAAATGGGCAAAGGACTTGACTAGACATTTCTCCAAAGAAGATATACAAATGTCCACCAAACACATGAAAAAATGGTCAACATCACTTGTCATTAGGGAAATACAAGACAAAACCATAGCGAGATACCACTTCACACTCACTAGGATGGCTACAATTTAAAAACGGAAAATAACAAATGTCAGTGAGGATGTGGAGAAGTGGAAATTCCCATGTATTCCTGGCAGCAATGCAAAATGGTGCAGCAGCTGTGGAAAACAGTTTGATGGTTTTCTAAAAAGCTAAACGTAAAATTACCACATGACCCAGCAATCTCACTTCTAAGTACATATCGCCAGAAGAGTTGAAAGCAGGGACTAGAACAGATATTTGTACACTCATGTTCATAACAGCATTAGTCACAATGACCAAAAGGTGGGGACAGCCCAAGTGTCCATCAACAGGTGAATGAATAAACAAATGTGGTATATTATTCAACCAGGAAGAGGAATGAAATTTTGATATATAATACGACATGAATGGAACTTGAAAACTGTAGGCTTAGTGAAATAAGCCAGATGTAGAAGGATAAATAATGTATAATATCAGTTTTATGAGGTTCTTAGAATAAGCAAATTCATAGAACAGCAAATGTAAATGAAGCTCCCAGGGGCTGGGAGGGAGGGAGGTTACCGTTTAATAGAAACAGAGTTTTTTTAGGAGAAGACGAAATGTTTGGGGTATAGATAGTGGTTCGCAGCACTGTGAACATACTTAATACCACTAAATAGTGGTTAAAATGATAAATATTAAATTATGTATATTTTACCAAAATGAAAAAAAATCTCAGGTCCCAGATTGCCATTTCAGGGAAAGCTTCTGAAATCATACTCACTCACAGAAGACGGCTTTTTCTTCCTCGTTTTTATCCTAGTTGGTAAATATACTTTATTTGTGTGGTTTTTGAGCAGCTTACTCTTTCTCACAGGACTGTGTGCTCCGTAATGATTTCCATGTCAAGTTTGCTTACACATCTTCCAACAGTGTCTAGCTCATTGAAATAATTTGGTCTAAAAATTTTTCTTAAATTAACCTTTCCAGTATTAAGAAAAATAAAATACAATCTTGAGTTCCACATACATTGCAATTTTCTAAATCTTTCCTAGCCATGCCATTTATAGAGTTGACTAATTTTAATAGATCATTTAAAAATATATAATTTAGCAAATGTGGCATGACTAGGCCACACACACACACAGAGACACAGAGATAGACAAACAAGTCTAATTATTCTATTGTTACATCACATAATTATCCATGATCCAATTATAGATTGTAGAAGGGGTAATTACTTCAAATGGTCTCCAAGAGCCATTATTTTCTTTAATTCGAATTTGTAGGAATGAGGGAGGTAACTGCTTAGAAAGAGGCACAGCAAAGCATTTTGATTTTAGGTAATTCATGCTGTAGACTGACAATCACGATAAGTAAACAAGGTTGCCTGTGAGACTCTGCATGTCTTGTCATGGGCTGCAAATAAACTAGCGTGGGTTAGAATTATGGACTTTTCTACCTGATCATTTGCAGTAACTTTTCATGGAATCGCGAATAGTTCAAAGGGTGAACAAGATAAAAAGAGTGAGATTTGCTACTATTTTTCTTTTCTTTTTCTCATTGGACTAGGAAGCTGAAGATTTTAGGATGGTTCCTTCGATGCATGCTTTAGAGTTCGAATACCCAGAAGAATATTGACAAAATTTCATTCCGTGAACATTTTTATCAAGCAATTCTCCTTTCGAACACCTTCCCCCTGCCTTTTTTTTTTTTTTTTTTTTTTTTTAGTAGTAGTGATAGTGGTGGTGAGGGTGCTGGATTTAATGCTATTTAAAATGGGAGAATTTCTGTAGTTTGATTATATTGAAGTCTTTTCATATGTCTATTCCTACTTAATCTGCTTTGTTAGTATTCACCGGTTACATCACTTAGTCTGTTTTTTCAAATGGAAATAATTTTAGGTCTTTGTAAATAAATGATTAAGGCCTTTACGACTGTTTTTGTTGGGACTCTGGTAAGTTTGTGTATAATTATGATGTGTGCCTTTCCCTGTGATCCGGAGTTTTTCCATCTGCTAAATGCCATTGAGTAATTTCAAAAAAAAAAAAAAAAAAAGCTGCTAAAAACTGGTTGGCAGAGAGACAAGATTCAAGCAGTCAAAGTTAGTATAATATGATAAAGGATGCTTTTGGTTTTTTCCTCTTAACAGCTGGCTTGAAAATTTCCTCGGGGAACATTATTTTGCTATGTTTGGAGGAAATGTGTCGGTAAGATATTTGGGGCAAATGCAACGTGCAAGCCCAGACAGCAAGATGTTCCCAAACTGCCATTTAAGTCCAGTGCTTCAGGCTGGCTAACGACCCCCTTTTTATTTTTGCTGTGTATTTGATGCATGTGTAAATTTGGGTATTGGGGCTTGAGGAGGGTTGAATTGCTTTACGGAATAAAGGGTTGAATGTGTAGGGGTTTAACTATTTTTTAAATAGTAATGAGATGGAAATTTCAGGATACCAAAGTGGGGGAAAAAAGCAGTCAAAGGGAATCATACTTTTCTTCTCAAAAAGTTCATACTGGTCAAACGAGATGCAGCTGTCAGCCACACAACTTCAAGTCTCCGGGGTGTCGATGTCATTGGTGATTCTGGTGGGGATGGGTGAAAATGACAGAGGCTTTGGTGGTGGCCTCGAGGCTGGCTCCCTCAGGCTCCTATTTTGCCAGAAAAAAGAGGGTGCATTACGGCCATAAATGTTATACTCCCTGGGTCAAAATCGTCATATTTGCTTCCCTGGGAAAATCCACTAACAGTGATTTTTGTCTTACTCGGGATATTTCTAATTTACTAAAGTAAACTAACAAGATTCCTAGGGAACGTGTCGGTACAGAAAGACATGCATCTTTGAGGAAAGGGTGCAATGAGAAGTTACCTTTATATAATGGTCATCATCTCTTAGCACCTCTTCTTTTCCCCTAAAATGTAAAAAACCACCACATAACTTTGTCTGGAGGGCCTCTGGGAGATTTTCAATAAAGCTGAAAGGAGAGAATGGGGGGTGGGGTGGGGATGGGGATGGGGGTGGTGCTGTTAGAGATAACCTGTGTCACCAGGTCAAGGTCAAGCAGCTTAATAAACAGGTGTGCTTTATCTATGTCCTTTTTTTTTTTTACTGACTTGATATGAATAACTAGAAGGATCTTGGAAGTTACATTTTTAAAAAGGCAGATGGCAAAATAGCAACAGCTCCTCAGTCTCTGATTTACTTCCTGGAGAGGTGATTCTCATCAACCAGGAACACCCACGTAGGACCTTACAGGAGCAAGAAATAGACTTCTACTGTGGTTATGCCATTATGAAGCTTTGGGTTACAGCCGCTCACGTGACCCTAACTCATATGCTCTGCTGGGGCGTGGATTAAACAGAGATTGTTCACACGGACACAGGAATCAAAAGGTCAGAGAAAGGGGATATTGAACGGTGACTTGAGAAACCTAAAATATTAGGTACTCTCTCAGGGCTCCCCCATTATGAGTATGTTTCAGGGAAGGGGGGAAAAATCAGCCTTATATAACACAAAGCATGGCTGCCTCTGTCCTCACTTCTGTAGCTGGTCATGAGGACTCGATTAAATAGTCACTGCGACCTTCTTCCACCTCCCATGCCACTTACCCTCTACCAGCACCTCGGCATGCTCACATTGCTGTGGGATAGGACGGAGGACACCACTATTCCCAGAGGGTCTGAGTCTGTGGGGTGCTGGCTGGGATGCTGCTGTTTTTATTATCAAGGGGTGTTGGACAGAGGAGGACTCACTCAGAGGCACCCCAGAGAATACTCAGGCTTCCAGGCAGAGTCCTGCTCACCAGCACATGCGACAGCCGCCAAATTTCCCTTTGATCATGGGGATCATTCCCTTATGTTAGTGTAGTGACCACCTTATAAAAACGCGTCAAAATATTCACCCATTATTGCTTAACTTCCCCCCTCATGGGTTCGATTCGTGTGTGTGCGTGTGTTCGGAATCTATATTTTTTCAGCTTTTCTCCTGAAATTTTCATTTTAGCAATGATTTTTAATTTCCACGACCTCTTATTCTTTGCTTTTTTTTTTTTTTAAAAATTGTTTTCACTTTATCCTTTCCTTCATCAACGGATACAATAAATACAACCTCAAACTTTTCTGAAGAATAAAAAAAGAGACTTAGAATTGAATCGATGTCCTCGTCTTTTTCCTGCATTATCCCTGTTTTCTCTGGAGTCAATATTCTGTTTTATGACCTTGATCTCTTCCTTTTGACCTTGTTTTATGACCTTGATCTCTTCCTGTTTTATGACCTTGATCTCTTCCTTATGCTACTACATAAGGAAGAGTAATTAATTAATGATACCTATTATAACCTCCCCGCCCCCGTTCTTAGCGGCATAACCCAATAGAAGTCATTTTATTTTGTTTGCTTTTTACAGAAAGGCCAATGGGCATCTTTCTGTTCGGAAAGCTCACCTGGGCAGCTGTCCTAGGAGAGATGACACAGAGATCCAGGATGCGACTATCCGACTATCCGAGGCTTTTCACTGTTGCCACAAAAGGTGAGAAATAGGAAGATCACATTGTTGGAGACTTGGTGTTTGGGGCCCAGCCTGGATGGGGATCATATGTTTCTGCCCACCTTTTAGGCCAAGTCATCTGGCCCCATCTTGATGCAAGGGTACTGGGAAATGCAATTTTCTTGTACTCCCAAGAGGAAAATAAAACGGTTTCATAAATTTATAGCATTGTCTTTGCCACAGCTGTTTTTTTTTTTTTCCTTAAAACAAAACAAATGTCTGCTGATATTCAGTCATCCAATCATGTTTATGAATAAAAAGATGTCGATTATTACCTGTGACTCACTGACATTTCCTTTGATAGTGGCCTCTTCCCTGCAGGAGAAGGCTGACTCAGGCTCCCAGCTCGTGGGTGTGGTGTGGGGACTGGCAGGCTTTTGGCGCAGATAAACAAGCCAGCAACCTCTGGAGGCCGCTGCCCCTCTAGGTTAACAGTTTCATTCCTTCGAAAGGTGTTTTTCCAGCTTCGTGCCATGGACATCTTCCTCAAACACATTCATACATGTGGAGGCCGGAAAGGAGGCTCTGACTCAACAGCCGTTGGACAGATTGCTCTTCAAACAACTGTCTTGCGTTGAGTTCTGTCTCGTGTTCTGACTACATCCCTGTGGACCCGAGGAGCTCTGTGAAAACAGTGCTGCCTCCCCTGCTGCTTTCTCCCCTCCTCGTCCCGAGCTGCGTCCTCTCTGAAGTATGTCACCTTGGCCATAGCATCTTTGATCTTTCGGAAACTCATAAACTCTTGTTTTGCTAATATTTTCCTTCCCCTATGTAGCAATTGTTTTAATTTCTTCTCTTTCGCGCTTACGAATACTTATATTCCAATAGTTCGTTGCTTGTTTTTTTAGAGTGAGGGGAGGTACATAATTTTCTTTAAGCTATCGTCTTGAACTGAAAGGGATACGTTTTTCACTTAACGATGAATGATTTTCCATGCCAATATAGCGATTTTTTGTGTCATTAAATAATCTAAAACAAGTTTCGAGATGCGAAAAATATTTTATCTTGTAGTATACCATAATTTACGTGATTTTCGACAATTATAAACGAGTCTACAATGGGCATTCTCGAACCTGAGATGTTAAATGTCTGATTTTCTTAGATCAAATAATTCCTTGAAGTGGAATTGCTGGCTAAAAGGCTATTTGCTTTTCTAAGACTTTATGTGTGTCTAGCAAATTGCCCTCGAGAACTATCACACTGTCTTATAAGCCCATCGGCAGTAGGTATTATCATTTAAAAATACCTTTACCAATTTATTTATGCCAGTAGCGCTTACAATTCGAGTACCTTTGTTTCTTCAGCTGCAAAAAATGGTCTAGATAATGGAGTTTTGTAAGGCATTAAACATGTACCTCACACATGCCTATCGCAAACTAAAAATAGGGGTAAATTTTGTTTTAAAAATGGTAAATTATTTAAGAGATAAAAGAACCAGATGGCTGTCTTTAGGGTTGTTATGGGGATTAAATGAGATAATGTATGTAAAGATATACAGAAATGGTATATATGTCATATATAAGTGTTAAGTATGAGTGTTCTCTCTTCTTCTAATCTAAGCCTCTGAATGCAAGGGTTATTCCAAATTCAGCGCCCTGGCTTGGACTCAGGGAAAGCAAGTGATCACGTGGATAGCCTCTGAGCTTGGGGGTGGGTGGTAAGAACGACCCATTACTGAAGAAGAGCAAAGAGCCCAGCAAAGGAGGCACCTCGGGGGATTTAACTTCTCCTTGGCCGAGCACTCAGATTCTCTTTTGATTACAGATTTATCTGAGCATTGTGTGCGAGCAATTTATTTGAAAGGCTGCTGTCATCTTCTCCCTGGACATCATCTCTGTGGCTCAGTGATTTCCTGCTCACCCCCACCTCCACCGAGTGTTTATGTGACTTCGACCCAGGTACACAGAGAACACGTTTCTGGTTCACTCAAGAGCTCTGGGGATTTGGATAACAAGTTGGCAGGCAGGAAGGGACAGAGTTTTGAAAAAGAATAAAGCGAAAAGAACTAGCGTAAGATACATCGTGGCTACGTAAACGGGTAATACTGAATCTGGAAAGGCGAATATAAAATTATTGGAACGTCAGGTCCAGAAATGATAGGATAAAGAACACTCAGGTTGAATAGGTGGGATAATTGTTCAGCCTCTGCCTTGACCTTTTCTGTAAATTTGGGATCTTTGGGATGAAAGACTGGGTACATGAAGCATTTTACGTGAAAAGCCATATTTTCTCCTTCCTCGTTTCTTCCTTTACCCTCTGCTTTTCCTCTCCTGGAGTGCACCCTATTCCGTTCAACGAAGCCATTGTTTTAAATCACATTCAGCTCTAAAACACATTTGATTAAGAATAAGTGTCCCCAGATCCACTCACGCAGTCCTCGCTTGCTTCACTTCCCCCACATGTGCCCTGAAATCCTCTCTGAGCCTCTTCCGCGCGCCACCAAGTGTCGAAAACAAGATGTCCTTCCTGAGTTTCTATCAATTAGGTTATGCATTCTTCTCTGCTGGTAAGAGATGTTAAATAATCGTGGCTTAAACAAACAAACAAAAAAAGTTTTTTCATTGACGTAAAAGAAACCTAGAAGGTGGTCAAGAGGCTGCGGGGTGGTTTTGGCGGATGGACATTTATTTCTCTTTCTCGTGAAAGCCTGAATGTAAGTAGTTCAGGGCAGTCGCAGAAGCTGCACAATGACTAAGACCTGGATCCACTCCCTCCCTCCCTCCTTCCACCCTTCCTTCTTTCCTCCCCTGCATCCCCATCCGTTTCTATCTATGTTTGGCACATCTAGGCTGCTTTTTATCTCGTCGTATGTGTCTCAGAGATTACTAACTTATTTATCTATATTTAGCACATCTCATGAACGCTGCCACCGTCTCACAAGCTCCTGGCGTCTACGCTTAGTTTCCTTACCCTCCGTATCTGCTTTCTTGTCTCTGTAACAGGTTCTAACATTCTCCTGGTGGATACGTAACAGATAAATGTCAGATAAGCGCCACGTGTAAATAACATGGCGTATACATGTGACAAATACCTTTCAATTCCTTCTCTCTCGGTTATTCATTACACTGAAAATTTTGAAGTCTAGACCAGTTGTCCTGTGACAGCTTCTCTCTTTAATCTTCATTTTCTTATCCTTTACTTTCCTGGGACTTTGTCAGGAAGAAATACGGGAATCCTGAAATTCTCCAGTTCTGTGAAATTCTTACTGTCCTTCTAATATTTGACATGCTTACGACCGCAGATGCGCACGCTAACAGAAAACCCAGTTCTGTTGTTCTTTTGTGTGTTTCGCACTCTCGTGGAAAGGAAAATTTTAAAAAATATTTCATCTCTTGCCTCCGACCTTAGCTTTTTCTTGTTTCTCTGTTTCCCAGGGGGAAGCAAAGCCAACCATTTCCCTGACGTGACACAACACTGTCATCAAGGGCTCTGCAGCCAAACTGCCTGGCTTGGTCTCTTGGCTCAACTACTTACTAATCTTGTGACGTGGGCAGAATTATCGAACCCATCTGTGCTTTCTTATCGGTGGAGTGGGGGTGATAAGAAGAACCGTCTGCAGCTTAGGGTCTTTGTCAGGATAAAGGTGATAAACATTTCCAGGCTCAGAACAGTGCCTGGGGAAGAGTCAGCACTGATAGGCATAGGTCACCCCTGCTGTTCTTGGTCTGTGACAGGAAGTAATGGACCGCATTAAACACAGGGGCTTTGGGGCTAGGCTTTGGATGGGATCCGGATGTCGCCTGTACTGTGTGACCCCAGACGAGTGATTTGGTCTCTCCAAGCCTCAGTGTCCTCATTTGTTAAATGAGACAAATTCCCACCACCTCTTGGATTATGTAGCTTCATTTTCAGGGTGATAATATAAGAAAACAACTAAGTCGCACCCAGACCCAGCAAGTCCTCAGGACATGTTATCTGTTATTAAAAAAGAATTGCTCGTTCTCTATATCTCTGTAGTCCACTAATCTTTAAGCTTGTTTTGGGAATTTGTCATTGATTTTCGATTTGCATATGAAGTTTATTTATTTTTTTTTTAATGAGACACTTTCTTTAGCAACTGTTTACGAGCCTGAGACTTTGCCAAACTCCTCCGTCTCAACTTCCTTTAGTAGCAGAGAACTCAATTATCATCGAGCACCCAACTTTTCACAGAGCACAGCGAGATTTTAAACGGAGATATAAACGAAGCTTTCTCGCATCCTCACTCTTAGTAACATAGCCAAGAATGAACATACCCGACAGGCCGAATAATTGTTGCTATTGATATGACTCACGGTGAGTCTTACGTGTGGAATCTTGAGGTGTGCGTGTGAGAGAAAGTGTGTATGTGTGTGTGTGAGTGTGAGTGTCCATTGGCTTCTTCCCTCTGGGACTTGCTTTTCCCGGCTCTGAGAGGCACCTCGCTCTGGGAGTGACAACTGGACTCCCTGGTTCTCATTCTGTTTTTCCCCTGAATGGCTCTCCCTTTTTTTTTTTTTTCTGCCTGCTCAAATGTTTCCATGATCCCCAATTAACCACACCCAGAGCTCGGAGCACCACCCTCTCACCCTGGCGGTTTGGACTTGGTTCTTATGAGGATCCAGTTGGTACCACCCAGTCTCATCCCCATTGCTGCTGACATCATGCAGTCAGTGTCTGCTCTGTCGTACATACTGTTTTTTTTTTTTTCTTAACTTTTTCCCAGCGTCACGTCCTTGCCTTATCTAGTTCCCCTCTTTCGATGTGCTCCTTCCCACTCTTGGTTCCCACCGAGAGCTCCCCAAAACCAGCACCACAGGAGGGGCTGTGGGGGGAGCCGGTGGGACTGACCACGCTTCTTCTGCTCATCATTATTTGAAGTTTTCGCCTTTCATGTCCACAGCCCTCTCGAAATCTATAGCTTAGCATTCTCTGCTGACCCGTTTTCACATCCTAAGATGATCTCCAGGATCGTTCACTCATGCCCTTCATCTGTTCCTTCACGTACTCATCCCTTGCTGGACATCCCGACTTCCTGTCAGTCTGAACTACTCTGCACCATTTTTAACGCTGTTCTCAATAGGTAAGATGGGGTTTGAACCTAATGACAGTAATTCGCTTAGTTACCTGCTCAAATAAGTGAAGTGGAGTGAGGCTGAGTCTCAGTAGGTGGCACTCAACATACATTATACAACTACATGTACCTAAAAAATATGAACACTGCAAGTTTCCCTCTCCTGCTTTATTTCTCAGAAATAACCATTATTAGCAATCCAGCGTGCATTTTCCCAGCCCTTTTTCTCTCTCTCTATTCGCATCCCTTACAAAAATAAGCTACTTTGAGATGGATAGCAGGCATCAAATTACTACTGGTTGAATAAACGAATGAGTATATGTGTGCGTATGTGTATTTTTATATATAAACATATAAACGGCTTTGCATATGCATTTTGCTATACATCATATCACTTCATACATATTACTTGGCAGCTTGCCTTTTTTTTTTTTTTTTACTTAGCAGCATATCTTGGGACTATTTCCATGGTACCACATATTGCTCTATTTCATTCAACAGTACTGCTGCGTAGTTTTTTTTTATGTTTTGAATATTTATTCGTCTCTTCCTTTACTGATGGATATTTACCTATTTCCTATATTTGTCATTTACACACAGCACGATAACATAAATCCTGGCCCAACTTTTTGCCTACCTGCATGTGTCTTTTTATGCAATTATTTCTTTGAAGGGGAAGGTGGAGTAAAATGTTATGTGCATTTTTAATAAATGTGGCCAAACCGCCCTCCGCAAAGACCGTCGCGGTTCACGATGTCGCCGTGGGCGAGAGAGGGTCTTTCCCCGCATGCCCACCAGGTTCGGGTATTCTTGTTTCCTTTAATTTTGCCGATCCGATGGGTGAAATGGTGTTTGCTTTTGAAAACATCCACATTTCACCGATCTTGAGTTAGACTAAGCATCTTTCCGGACGTTTATTGGCCTTCCTCATTGGGAGTCAGTCCTTTAGACATTTTTTAATTCTTTTTCTGTTTCAGAGGAAGAAATTCCCCTCTATTGTGCTCAAGAATGAATTCCTCATGCTTCCTTGTTTCTCAATTGTCTTCACTCCTTCGCGTCCTCAATTTTCCTGTGTTCACTGATTTCTTCCTCTCGGCTCTCCAACCATCAGAGGGCAATTATCTCGGGATAAAAGACTTTATCAGACTTCACGTTCCCTGGTTCTCTCCACTGCTCTACTTGTCAAATGATTGTTCCACGTCTGCTCCTCTTACAGCCTCTAATCACTGATACCAGTGGTTCTACCCAGTCCTAATTCACTGACCTTTTTAGGTCTCTTTAAATTCTGTTGCCTTTTTTTTTTTTAATCACAGACCTCTCTTAACTCCCAGGTGCCATCCCGTTTTTCTTCTGACCTCTAGGACTGACCTCTTTCTTCTTTAAGTTTTTTTTTTTTCTTCTTCTTTTGACAAACAGTGTGAGTTTTCAGTGATTCCTGGTTTGGACTTTTGTTGTTTACCCTCATTGTAGCTTTGGAGATCTCGTCCATTCCAAAGGTTTCGACTATTATCTTTACGGAAAAATCTCCCAAATCACTGTCACTCGTCCTAATGTCACATTAAAAGTCCAGTCTTTCACTTTACTTTTAACCATTGAATTGGACCACCGAAACTTCAAGATCAGAGCACTAAATTATACTTATTATTCTCCTCTGTCCCACGCCAGTATAATTTTACCAATTTTTGTGGGTAACAAAACGGAGAAAACCTTATTGTCTTAGTAGTAGAATTCTCCCTAGATAGAGATTTACTTTGTCTACCAAATACCTTAATGAGTCGCTTTTGGTGATGAGGGATAAGTGGGAGGGTAAGAGGTACAAGATTATACACAGAGATGTGGTCTTTGTTTTCTAAGTGGGGCCGATCAGTATTACACTTTAGTTTAGCTGAGTATACTCTTCAAGAGCTGAATTGTCTGGGACAACAATGAGGACGGGAGTGGCTGTGGAAAGAAAGAGAAGGAAAAATGTAGCTGGCATCCAGAATGGAAATTCGGCAAAAGCCCAGGCACGTTTAAGAAGGATTTTATGATGCTTTTCACTTGGTATAGAATTATAGATTGATGATATTTTTATTTCCTGTCCCTAAAGATGTTGATTGCTCTACTGTCTTCGTACGTGCACTGTTATTATGAAAAAAAAAAAATTTTTTTTTTAAAGTTTCTTTATCTTGAACCACTGTACAAAACATGTCTTTATTCCCTGGATGCTTTTAAGATTTCTCTAACAATAGTTTTGAGCAGTTTGATTGTGATATTCTCTGGCGTGTATATGCATTTCTTGTGCTTTGGGTTTTGTCAAGCTTCTTGGATCTGTGGGTTTAGAGTTTTATCAATTTGGAAAATTTTCAGTCATAATTTCTTCTAGTTTTTTTTCTTTCTTCTCATCTCTCTTTTTCTGAGACTTCAACAAATATTTTAGGCCATTTGAAGCCCTGTAACTCATTGATGGTCTGTTTATTTTTCAATTTTTTTCTCTTTTTATTTCATTTTAATTTGTTTTTAATGCTATGCCTTCAAATTCATTAACATTTTCTTCTGCATTGTCTCGTCTGCCAATATTCTCAACCAGTGTTTTTTTAAAAAAAATTTCAGACATGGTAATTTTCCTCTCTAGAAGTTTGATTTAGGGCTTTAAAAAATATCTTTTTTGTCTGTACTTAACATGTTCAATCTTTCCTTTAGCTTTATGAGCATATGGGACACAATTATAATAACCATTTTAATGTCTCTTGTCTTCTAATTCTAGTAGCTGTGTCAATTCTGGGTTCGTTTTGATTGATTCATCTTCTCCTCATTATGACTTGTGTTTTTCTGCTTCTTCGCAGGCCTGGTAAATTTTTATGGCATGCCGCACATTGAATTTTACTTTTGTTTAAGAAGTTTTATATCCCTCTACACACATTGACACTTTGGGGGGCACTTTTTGTGTTTGCCACAAGGCACCTTCACTTCCTGATCTCTAGTTCAGTTCGGGTCGGTCATAGAACCTTGTTCTCTCCACCCTGGAAATTAGCACAATTCTTCTCTCCCTTCAGAACTTTGAGCTTTTGATTCTGTCCTCTTTACCTTTCTCTCATCTCTTTCTGTGTTTAAGATGTTGCCAGGCAGAGGGCAGAACAGGAGAGGGCAGAGGGCAGGGCTGACTCTCCTACCTTTTTCAACTCTTCTGTAGAGGAAAAAAAAAAAAAGACCCTGTAAGTATCTTTCGAATCTATTGTTTAGGGATAGATTTCAGTTTTAAAATTAAAAAGAGAAGAGTTCAATGTATTGCCATTCTTTCTTTTCATTTACAAAGCTTTATCCTGACAGTAGCGATTCCCTGAGAATCTAGTGTGCAGAGGGAAACCCACCATGACAGCAGAAGAATTTGAGGAGAAGCTTGCTAGAGAGGTGGGCTCTCGCCTAAGAAAGTGCCGACCTTCAGTTCTGCTTGTCGGGCTGACCCCCCTCATCTGGCCGAATTCCTCCCTTTTGGAGATCAACTGCCACGAAGTAGAGGGATCACATCTTCACTCACATTTTAACATATGAATGACTTAAATGTATTGAATGAATAAGCGATATTGCAGACGGAGATGGAGAATGAGGAGATATGTTCTTAAGGCATCAGCCATACGGAAGGAGCCCCAAGCTCCTGAGTCGTGACATGGATCAAGGACTCAGGAGCCAGCTGGCTACTCTGATCTGACTGATATGTCTCTTCACCCTCCAATCTGCTGTGCCGTCGCTAAGGAGGAAGATTGCGTTAGACTCTGCCCGGCGATGATCATGAGCCAAAGCTGCCGATGAGTGATGTCAGCTCTTCTGGGCTATGCAGGACCCACACACAGCCTTTGCTGGTGTGAACGTCTGCCAGCCTCACGGAAGCATGACGTGGTCCCAGCAAGGGCAAGCACGATTCCCTCCTCCTTGGGTTTGCTGCCACCTTCTGTTTACCCTCCTTCCATCTTCGGGACTAACTCAACAAAAATTCCAGGAGCAAAGACAAAGAAGGACAG